ATGACCGAAAAAAATGATTTGTTGTCTCACAAAACAAATTTAACAGCAATGCAAGTTCAGTCAAGGTATCTCAACTCTGTTTTGTTTCTGAAAGAAAAAAAACAAGGACTGGTTAATGATAAAATTATAGAATTTGATTGCAGTAAATCTAGGTAGGTACAGCTTTAATCTGTAAATGGTGTACCAGGGGTATACAGTGATTGGAAAAATGTCAAAAATATTTTCACTGAGTATTTTAAGAGACTAATACTTATTTTAAAAAAAGAAGGAAGGGTTTCTTTCTTGGTAGTTTTTAGGTGATATTTACATGTACGATTGTTATACCAGTATGGTACAATGTAGCTAAACTATTTTTTCAACAATTTTTATTGTACGCCCCTCATTTATATATGTATAAGATACATGTATGTATATGTAAGACATGTAAGATATGATTGAAAATTTGATGTTTATAACTTATTTGATAATATTATTCAGAATTTTAATTAAAATGTATTGATCGGAAGCCATTTTGAGGTAACAGATTGGTTAGTTATTATCGCCATGTTTTTGTCTGAAACTGAAACACCAGCTGTCACATTATCTACATGAACAAATCATAACTAACTGGGGACACAGAAGTTCTAAACGATTTTGTTCTGCTATGGTGTTATTGGAGACATTCTTTATGGAAAAAAATATGTTCTTGGGAAGTAATAAGGTTTAATGAATCAAAATCCGTTTAATACGGCTAAAGGAAAGAAATTGTGCGAGTTAATATATTTTGTATTTAGTTTATTTAAAGAAGTGCAAGAATTCTTAAAGAAACAAATGTTTCAACAGGACCTTGATGCTTTTATGTTTCAAGGGGGGATGTTTGGGTTTAACAAAAAACAAAATGAATAGTATTTTAAGGGTTTGGTGCAAAACTGATGTATCTTATTCTTTATCTTTATGTGATAATGGAGTTACAACCGTTTAGCCCCAATTTGCTTCAGAGACTCTCTCTCAGAATATAATATTATGTACATGTATGTTAAGATTGTTCTGTTTTTGGGAATAATGATAAAATAAATCAGTGTAATTATGATTCTTGCTAGCTCTGCTGTTCTAATTTTTACAGATGGTATTAAACGGTATGCCAATAATTCATTTTGAAATAATGGAGAAAAAATTTAACAGTTGAGATATTAATTTGATTATATAACACATTTTATCAGTTGTATGTGGCTGTTTCTCAAGTAGGTTTACAAAGTTGTTATTCTAAAAACTCCTGTTAGACATGTAAATTATTAAGTTTGCCACTTATTATGTTTTTACTGCTAAATTCCTGAGATTGATAGGTCAATTTTTAAATTAAAGTGGAAATGCAGATGTTAAGAAATTTTGCTTCAACTGCAAGTTTGTATACATTCTGATAGCTTTAAGGTGTATAAATGACAAAAAATTATACAATTTTCATTTCTAATCAGTATTATTGACGGCCCAGTTGTGATTTATTGAAAAAAAAAAACTGAGTTGATATGTCAAAGAAAATAGCTAAATAGTTATGTTAAGAAATTTTCAAGGTATAATATGTCAGGGAAAACATTCATGATCAGAAAGATTGACCATAGATTGTCAACACTCAAAAATATCATCTTAAGCAGTGCAAATCTGTTCAGTTATACCTTAATTCCCAGATATATACCTAAATTCTGGAATTTCCAAAGATAAATAAATTAAAGTCCTCTAATTTCCAGATACCATTAACAAATTGAAAGATAAAGATAAAGTTAATGGTTTGCCTACATAGACTGAAAGGTACAGTCCAGAAGTTGTCAAAGCTCTAAAAGTAGAATCATGATTCAACATTTAAATTGGAAAATTAAGAATATCGTATAATCTTACATCAGATTTTTATAATTGCTGGATGCATTCCCCTAATGAGAACACAATATCAATACTTGATATCACAACAGTACTTTTAAAGTGAACTTTTAAATTAAAAAAACAAGGAAGATTGGTGTTATTTTTCCTTGTTAATGTAAAATGTAACATTATGATCATAATCTGTTCAGTTTTGTTTAATAAAACTAGGTCTTGTATAAAATATAAAGCCGGAAGTAGGATACATAATTATTGTACATTGTAAACTTGTTAAGTTTTAATTAACATCCTTATACTTTGTTTGAAAGCAATTAATGTCACCAGATTATATCCCAGGAAAAAACCTTGTAAGCTCTGTCGAGAAGAAAATTGATTAATATTATTTAAAACTTGGTCAGAACTTTTATCAGAACATAATGAAACTAGAACTGACTGATGAGAAATAGAATAATAATAATATTACAACTTTTATCCATTTATCCATTATTTCAAAACTTTGTTTCCTCGTCTACAGATTGATATTTAGTAAATTCCCAGGATATTAAGAAATTATTTGACATTTAGTATGTTCTTTCCCAGTATGCCATTATAATCTTTAATTTCATCAGAAAGAGAGAGAGAAAAATTATTCTCATAATAGAAGCATGTGCAAATTAGTAATAGACGAAATTATTCTAGAACTATTGTTAGAAACAAAGCCTATACAGTGTTGACACGGAAGTTAAATTGAAGCGATTTGCTTCACATGAAATAATTATGCCAAGTAATTATATACTGAAATACATGCTTATATAACCATCATTACAATATGGTGGCTGATTTGTTACACTATTGGGTGTTGCAGTGCCGCTAGCGACAACACAACAAACATCATTATTGCCTTTTCGTCCTGTCTTGTTGCTGCAAATGCACCACAAAGTTTGTTATCATGTGATGCGCTTTCTCCATGGCACCCTGTCGCTTGGCTTATATCAAAGGGTTGGCTTCTTATCGTGCTGTGACATGGCTTGTTGTCGAGCATCAAACGCAAATTCTTCCATTTGAGCAACGCAACAATAATAACACGCCACAAGACAACATGCTGTTTGGTGTGTTTTGCTTGCGACAGGACGAAAAGACAACAAGGCGATAATGTGCTTTGCGTGTTGTAGCGACATCGCAACGCACAAAAGTGTAACAAATCAGTCAACATAATACAACATTAAGATTATTTAGTCTTTTAACATTATGAATAATAGGACAACCACTTAAAAATAGGACAATAGGTCAATGAATAGACCAATGAGAAAAGTGTATACAGTATTGAGCAATTATCAAAATCAAAACAGCGCACACACAAGATGTGTTGGTTGGATTCGTTCATACGACACATGCAAAATGATATGTCAGATATTCGCGATAGTGTACGTCGTGCAAGAAAATCGTGGAAACTAAGGTCATCAATGAAGCATTTAATAAGTTGTGATGAGGCGGAGGTCATTTACAAAATATGGAAGTATAAATCAGGTGATTCTATTGGCTTAGTAGCATTTATTATTAACCCTTGACCTTCTGAATTTGAATATTGGACTTGCCCTGCTTTGAATCATAAACTGATTATTTTATTACATATTATTACTATTATATAATTATAGTTTTTATAGTCATTGGCAGCAGATAATTACAGGCAGCTGACTTGGTTTTATACTGTTGGTATAGACAAATTACTATTTCTAAAACTAAGTTTAGTATACTGTTTTTTCATGGGTTTTTGAAGAACAGTCAAAACTTTGTGCCGACTATCAGGGATGACATTTGGAACTGTTGCCAAAGACCAAGGGAACAGTTCCAAATGTCATCCTTGATACCGAGGGACAACAGTTTACTGTTTCACAAACACCCATGAAATAACTGTTTTATTACCTATAAATACTTTGCAATCAAACTACAATATATATTGCAACAACATACTATAATAACATTTTTGCAACTGTTTTAATTGTTTACAACTGAATCCTACTGACAAACCACTAGAGTACATTGAGATGAGCGATGTTCGAAGACAGAATGGTGGCAAATGGCATAAACGGAATAACCGATAATGTCGACAGGGGTGTAATAGTTGAAAATGACTTGACTGGTCAACAGTTTATTTCATCATTGCTCATGCTAAGGATTTCAGCGGTTCAGTTAAACAGTTGTAAATATGGAATTAGTATTTCTGGAAGGCATTAGGTAATAAAAAATTTTATTGGTGGTGTGACCAATTGGTTTACATATCAGACTATTAGTAATCTAGGGATTGCTGGCTTCATGGGTTTAAATTCTGTCAGGGGCAACCTGTTGTTTCTGTGCATGAGCAAGGAACTTTACACTCATTGCTTAGCACTTGTTGGTTACAGATTTGAGAGTGTTTCAATTAGCTTAAAAATATAGCTTCAAACACAATCGAGCTAAAATAAATTAAGTATAAACTAAACTAAGTTCAGTTACAGCGAAATGAATAGCATGTTGTTTATATTGTTGGATTTAAGTCCACTGTATTACTTAGTAAAACAATTATAGAAATTGTATCATAGATTAGAGACCTTCATTGTTGGAAAGGTGTTTTAGGATTATTAAATCATATACCCAATACAGCTCTGTGTGTTAATGGTAATTCCCCCCTGGTACAATCATCATCACAGGGCTGATACTGATAACAATTTCTCCGACTGAAATCTGTATGCTGTAATTAAGATGCATTTTTCTTTTCATCTTATATAGGTAAACTGTTCAATTTTCAGCAAATTGTGATCTGGTCAAACATAAATTGATCCTATTGCCATAAATATATAGTTAACTAGCTTATACTGCATGCCATATATATTATTTGCCATTTATAATAAAGCTTTGTTAATTTCCACTATTGAAAGTTGTATTGACAACATCATTTCCTGTTACGTGCATAATAGTCAAATAAGTAAAGTATTGTGAAACAACGAAGTTTGCGTACATACAGAATTTATCAAATTGGCATAATTACATGTACAGTATATTTTGCTTACATGGTAAGATTTAATATTTCCATTGGTAATAATAAGTTAAAATGTTGTATATTTTCAGGAAATGGTATGGAATCATTATTTGGGTATATTTTCAGGATGGAATAAATTTTTTGTATATATTTTCAGGAGATGGTATGGGTATGGAATCATGTCCGTACAGTGTGCTGGATGTAGCACAGCTGCTTCAGACAAAGTTTGCTTTTATGTCAGGTCAGTTAGTAACAGAAATACTTTAAATGTAGCCTGGGATTCAGGCGTTGATATTTTTTTTGCTTATTCATAACTTACACGCTATTTCATACTCGATCGTCATAGATAACACCACATCTCTGGTTTTGATAGTATTTGCCGAACGGAAGCACATAAAAAAAAAATCGACAGACTGGAACCCAGGCTACTTTAAATGTACCACATAATCATACATTATTATAAGGTTATAGGTAACCGAATGTTTCAGGCTGCACAGGATAGTATTTCTAGCCCTTTTTTATTTGGAATTTTTACGACATAGTTAAAAATGAAAATGGTAGGAGGATTTTAACAGCAATCTTACTGAAGATCAAGATGTCCATGTGGTTAGTTCTTGAAATAATATAAAAAACAAACAAGGGTCACCAAACTCACCATAATCTGTGAAGCAGTCACACTATTGATACTTAGAGAATATCAATATGAATGCAAGTAAGAAAATTTTGGAAATGTATAATAGATTTTTAAGGATATTTGCTGATTTCAACCTAATTCAATGTCTAATGAATTAATAAACATTAAACTGAAATTTCTTTTTTTGAAACTGTCTTTTTATATTCAAAGACAAGTTTTTGCATGATTATAAGTGAATATAGATATGGTAAACACATTGAAGGATATTTGTATATCAACAGGAGCCAAGGCAAAGAATGGTGCACCAATAATGACATTTCCGGACAGACCAAACACACCGGAACCTAATGAAGATGAGTACCGGAAAATTGTTACCTACCTCTGTAGTATACCCCCGTAAGTTTATAAGTTATCAAAATTTAAAAATGTTTCATAATCAACTAATTAGATGCTAGAGTTATAGACCTGGGTATTCGTCTCTGTTTTTTTAAAAAAATTTTCAAACCCAATTTGAGTGAAGCGCTTTATCTGCACTTTTTGGGTATTATAACAAAGCCAATATTTTCTTAGAGGTTACACCCGACTAAGTTTTAGTGGACTACCATAAGAATACGAAAAAGCCTGCTCAGAAAGTCACTATACATTTTTGGCCAACATGCTGGCTTCGTGTTGATTATTATATAAAGGCCCGCTGACACTAATATGAATAAAGAAGGAACACATTATGTACGATACATAAGCCGATTTTATGTCTGCTAAAAATTCCTATGTATTATTAGTGGACACAGACTTGAATGCTTTCAGTGGGAGCCAATGTCATAAGTCTGTAATCTTTTACAATGGCTTTCGGTTATTAGTCTAATATTTTCCTCCCATAGAATAAAACTACCAATTATACGGGCACCTAAGTTTTCATGATGTGTAATTATTTCTGGCATAATCTGCATAGTTTACTAGCAAATTATTGGTGCATTGACAAACTGAAACAGGGTTAATAGTTCTAAAAAGTTTCCTCTATGAAGGAAAGTCAGGCCTTCTCGTTTGGTATTAAATTTTTGGTGTTTAACAATTTTAGTATTAATGCAAAATTTGTATTCAGATTAAAAGAAATTCTCCCATTTTTACCAATTTTAGAACCTAAATTTTATATTCTGAGTTGTAAGAATAATTAATTTAAAGATATTATCAAAATGTAATTTGAATTAGCATCATTCCTTTCATTATGATGTAAATGTTATAAAAAAAAGTTTAAAACTAAAAATTGTGAAAACCGGCCAACGGCTCTTACCGATAATGTTATCACCATCACTAATTACTGAAAATGGTCACAATTACTTTAGAGTTATCAACAATAACATTAACTGTTATTTAAATATTCTTAGTATTGAATGATTATGTTTTATCATTTTCAACTTATTAAATTTACAATCAGATTTCTTCATAGTCACAATATCTGAGTGCCATAAATTATTGTCAATGTTTTGTGATGCAGTTACATGTACATGTATTTGTATCATAGTTTGAAGACCTTTTTATTGAAAATGTGTCAGAGTCAAAATCGTATACCCGTATATGCACAGTGCGTTACCTGCACTACAGTTACTGCGCTGTGTATCAGGACAAATATAGAGCGTGCTCATCGATTGGCTGAAAGTTGTAAGGGGGGTATACTGGAATCAGCTTGTCTGTCCGGCTGTCCGTCCGCACTACCGAATAGGGATAGGGGGCCATCTAACTGTAAATAGAACAAAAGAGAACAATAGAGTTCATTCCGTAACAATAGAGTAAGGGGCCATTGGCCCTCTATTAAACAATAGAAAATAACAAAAGAAATGGCCCCTTATTCCATTTCGGCCGGACGTCCGTCCGTCTGGCCGTCCGTCGGTTTTTCCTTGTCCGCCCAATAACTTAAGATTCCTTTGACCCACAGTCTTCATATTTGGCATGGAGGTTAGTCATGAGTAGTAGAAGACCCCTATTGATTTTGAGGTCACTGGGTCAAAGGTCACAGGGGCCTTGACTATAAAAAGCTTGTCCGCCCAATAACTTAAGATTCCTTTGACCCACAGTCTTCATATTTGGCATGGAGGTTAGTCATGAGTAGTAGAAGACCCCTATTGATTTTAAGTTCAAGGGTCAAAGGTCAAGGTCACATGGACTTTGACTTCAAAAAGTTTGTCCTCCCAATAACTTAAGATTCCTTTGACCCACAGTCTTCATATTTGGCATGGAGGTTGATCTTGACCATAAAGGTGACCCCTATTGATTTTGAGGTCACTGGGTCAAAGGTGAAGGTCACAGGGACCATGACTTAAAAAAAGCTTTTCTCCTCAATTGCTTAAGAATGCCTGTCCACAGTGTATTGATTTTGACATTTCCACATTTGAAGCATGTAGAATACATAACTTAGCAATGCAATGGCTTAGTAACCTCAGATTTGGCAGGGAGGTTGTCCTTGAGCTCTAAATGGCCACTGTTGATTCTTACAAAGTGGTATGCTGGGGGTATTCATGCCATGACAGTGGCAGTTCTAGTTTTTTCTGGGGACAACAGGGAAAGGGATAAGATAGAAAAGTGACATGTTCAGATGCTTGTACGTTGCTTACTTTTTCTGGAGTTTCAAATTTTGACGGCAGAGAATTGGTTTTTAGCTCGACTTTTCTATGAAAAGGGGAGCTATCCTACTCGCCCCGGCGTCGGCGTTAGCGTTGGCGTCACACCTTGGTTAAGTTTTTCGTACCACCCCACTTTATTTCAGAAGTATTACAAGTATGGCTTTGAAACTTACCATACTTGTTCACCATCATAACCTCCATCTACAGACAAGAGTACATAACTCTGTCAAGGTTTTTGACAGAATTATGGCCCTTTTTTGACTTAGAAAGTGTATTGAGCTTGGTTAAGTTTTTTGTACCACCTCACTTTATTTCAAAACCATTGGAGGTATTGCTTTGAAACTGACCATACTTCTTTACCATCACGACCTTCATCAACAGACAAGAGGACATAACTCTGTCAAGGTTTTTGACAGAATTATGCCCCTTTTTGACTTAGAAAATACATTGAATATGGGTAAAATCCACTTATTGCCTTAACCCTTTGAGATATTGCTTTGAAACTTTTAATGCTATTTCACATCATTACCCCCATCTGTACGCAAGAGAAGGTAACTCTGTCAAGGATTTGTTTTAAAAATTAAGGCCTTTTATCGACTTAGAATCTTGGTTAAGTTTTTTAGTACCAGTCCACTTTTTGACTGAACTGTTTGAGATATTAATTTGAAAGTTGGAATACTTGTTTACCATCATGGTCCCAAAACATGGGCAGGAGAAGGTAATTCTGTTAAGGATTTTATTTGAATTATGGCCCTTTTTGACTTAGAAACTCAGTTAAGATTTTCATTCTTGTCCACTTGTTGACTTAACCATTTGAGATATTACTTTGGAAGTTGGAGTTCTTATGTGCCATCATGAGACCTATCTGTAAGCAAGAGAAGATAACTCTGTGAAAATGTTTCTTGATTTGTACTTAGAAATTCCTAGTTAAAGTCTTGTGTGCCCTTAACTGTCAAAGTTTTGTTTTATAGGCAAGCACTAAAAAAGTCGAGCGCGCTGTCCTTCTGACAGCTCTTGTTATTTTTGCCTATGATACAAAAGAGAAAGAACATCAAAACACTCAGCAGTCTAATTTATGCTCAGGGGCTACACACCTTGTACAAATCAGATAGCCTTAAATTGTGTTTTGATGCTCTTTCTATAACTTGTAACATTTTCATTACACTTCCAAATCATATTTCTTCAATATAAAATGAAATAATTTATCGTATACAATATTTCCTATAGGCAGATTGTTTTTTTTTTATCCTTTTTAGCCAGACAACACTAAGGAGTATAAATGATTATATTTAATACTATTTTAGGTTACATGAGACACAGATGGGGTTTGTTTTGTTGGTAGATCGTAGACAAAGTGGCTGGGGCTCGGTCAAGACAATCCTCATGAGATTCTCAGTAAGTATCGTAAAATGTTTGTCTATGTGTGAAGAAAATATCAGATTGTGTGTAAATTGTATAGAAAAATGAAGCATCTTATCTTTATCCAATTTAAAAATCTCCTCAGATTTTTTTTTAAATAGAGCAACGGTGGGTAATATCGACCCTTTAACGCGATACTATTCAATGAAATGTTGATTTAAGAATTTAGTAGCATATGACCTAAGCATATGAACCAGCTTTTTCTATTGGTTGTTTCCAACCAATACGGTCGCCCGTTTTACCTTCTTAATGTCAGTGGCATATGTTTCCAATATACACGTGACACTGTCAGTATCGACCCCTTTCGGCTAATATCGACCCCCTTTCGATTTTTTAAAAATAAACATAATTCAAGGCTATAAGATTTAAAAGAAAATGTATCGTTAATAACACAGTGCGATTATCAACCCAACTATTTCATTATAATTATACTACATGTACATAATTTATGTTTATTAAATATAAACAAGGCCTTAACACATATCAGGCAGTTTAAATATAAACCTCTAAAACATGATGAATAACTTTTTTTTAAAAAATTAGAATACAAACGCAAATTACACTTGAAGATATCTATTTCATTCTCTTTTTTTCTTTTCAATTTCAATTTATCTTAAATATAACAGTTTCAAGCAACAACAACAAAAACAACAGTTGCATATGCACGAGTACATTTCACTCACACGCATTGCACACAAAGACAAACGTGCTTTCATTGACCTCTTAATCTGTGTAGCCGGCACACACTACATGCCATTGCCGACAACATGATTCACAAGAAATCCATCCTTCTTGTAATTCTTCAGAAGATCTCCAGGTTTTGCATACAGGACAAACATCGACAAAGCTCTCCTCAAAATCATCACTGTCGTGATCCATGTATGGAATATCATTATCTGACATATCTGTATCAGATTCAGAGCTATAAGTTACCTTTTTACTCTTTGAGTTTTGCTTCTTTGGTTTTGATGATAATTTCTTTTTAAGGTTTTCCTGTTTATCTCGCTTGCGTCTTTCTTTCTCTTCTTCTTTCTGTTTTCTTTTAAGTTCTCTCTGACACTTTCTTTCTTCCTTAAACCTCGCTAATTCTTTCTTATGATCTTCTCTTTCTTTCAACATACTTAATGCTTCATCCCCTGATAACGCTTTCGGCAACTTATGCCGGAGCTGAACAATTTTCTTTTTTGGTTTTACTTCTGGCACACGTAAGTATTGAAATGCAGAAGATACCGTTGCCGGGTTTTTTGATAGACCTTTGGATGAAGAAGGTTGTGGAATAGGCAGTAAAGGACAAACGACTGATGATACAGCATCTGAAGTATTAACCTCAGGGGACACAAGGGTGTTTGATTGTATTATAGCAGAAATAGAACTGGCAGGAAAGACTACTGAATGAGTGCTTACAGGCAGTTGTTGTGCAGTGTCAACAAATCGGGAATTTACGTCGGGTTTTACATACGTGTTACTTGACGTAATTGAAATATCATTGTTGACAGTAGAAAGGGGAACCGTGCTTGATAAAGAGCCTACTACATTGACAATCACATCGGATACATGGCTTGAATTTGCAGCTTCAACAGAGTTTGATTCAGAATCAGTAACAGTGTTTTGAGTTACTGTTTGAGTGTTGGAAACTAATCTTGCAGGACCAAGTTTTTTCTTGTCTATACCTTCGGGACTAAAGGGGAACAAACCTGATCTACGAAAGCCATTTGCAGCATTTTGGAAGGTAGCTACCTTACTCCAAGCTTGCTTAAATATGCCTGGAAAGTCTTTCTTTGTGACCGCCTGGCCAATGTTTGACATTTGCCAGGTTTTCACAGCCGCTTGCCAGGCGGACTTCAAGGGTGAGAAGAGTCCTACATCGGCTGCCTGCATGACATGTGTAGCATTTGGCAAAAGACAATACAATATAATTTGATGATCTTTACAAAATTGAGCAGCCTCTAGTGTCATGTGGGTGGAATGTCCGTCCACAAAGAGGAGTACAGGACGTGCAATATTTGTTTTAATTAAGGACTGGTCAAGGACTTTTAGAAACTCAACAAAAGTGTCCGAAGTCATCCAACCATTAGGGGTTGTCGTATAAATGGCTTCCGGGAAACCTGCTAAACCAACATCACGGAGTCTTTCCCCAGGAAAAAGAATCATTGGTGGCAGGTATTCCCCAAAGCCATTGAAGCCAGCCATAACAGTAATTTGCATTTTAGTGCTAGCTACAATATTATATACATGTTTTGCACCAGACGGAGCCAAAACTTTGCCAGGTTTTACTGACAGCGGGAAACCGCTTTCATCAGCATTATAAAGACGGCGCGGGTCTTTTAATAATGCATCATAAGTGTCAGGAAACTCCTTTTGTAAATACATATATACACCAGTATACCAATTATTTACTTTTTCTATTGTAACTGCCGCGCGCTCATGCCCGAGAGACATAGGCTTTCTAAATGCCATCTCAGGATGACCCCTTTGAAAGCCAACAAACCAGTCCTTACCCGTTAGATTATCACGGAAAGGTGTTTCACGTCCGTCGAGGTTTAAAATATGCTGGACTTCATAAACAAACTCCTTCTTTGTAAGCGGGTAACCAATATCACACATCAAATTAGCGTAAGCTACAAGTACGTTTTCCTCTGCCGGCGTGAGTACAGTTTTCCGTCCAAGAGAAGTAGACTCAGGTACTCGACCAGAAAGTTTGTCCAATAGCGTTGTCTTAGGTATGCCGTAAGCCTTTGCCGCCCCCTTCCTACTCATTTGGCCACTTCTAACCATCTGTATAGCTAAAGCCATTGCCTCGGGCTTGTACTGCACCCTTTTCTTAGCAAAAATCTGCGATGACATTCTTTTTCAAACATATACCTGAAAATGAGAAAAAAAGAAAATAGAAAAAAATCTATATTTTGTCAATGCAGTATATAAATTGTATGTCACAATGTGTATATTTTAAACATGTTTAGATCTAGTCATGCAACTAAGAAATATCATCTTGCCCCAGCAAAGAATCTTTTCGATTACAAGTTTATGTAATATTTTACGATGGGGTCGATATAACTAGATTTTGAAATAATATTCTGTTTATTTCGACCCCCGCGTGATCCTCTGTAAGTAAAAGCAATAACCTTGAGATCATTTTAAATCACATTTAAAGACTATATACAGTTATCCGGATGTAAAAATATCTAAACAAACAACATTTTACAAATATAAAAAGCATGAAATAATAACTCCCTCACCTTAACGGAGCTGTTTAAAACTTGTTCGATTCTACAATGGAAAATGTCGTGAATCTTGTTTGCTCAGAGAACATTCAAAATGGCCGCGTAAAACGTAATCGATGACATCATCAATAATAATTGATCGACAGCAAACATAACCTTAATTGTAAACTCATTAATGAAGTTTAACGGGAGGGGGTCGATATTATACGAGGGTCGACATTACCCACCGTTGCTCTAGATTAATTTTTTCTTCTTCAGTTTTTGTATTTTCTGATCGCAGAACAGGAAATACAATGCTGACATTTAATATCTGGAACAGCGCTTCCCGACGAACCTAACAACACAAAGTAGTTCTCAAAACAGGTTAAAACTAGTTATGTTTGAAATATTGCATTGTTTAATGATATATCAGAAAATTAAAGATAAAAATTTATACAAAATTGAGTTTTTAGCTCAAGCTTACTGTAGAGATTGGCCTGGTTCAATCAATAAATGTGATTTAGACCCATTGTAATTGATAATCATGTACTCAAAGATATAAAAAGAGTATCAAGATTCCTTTATTGCTGTTTGTTTTTTCCTTTGAATTGTGATATTTGAAATTCAATCCATTCTACACTGTACATCTTTAATAGACTTGTCCATCTTAAAATCTGGACAAAACCATTCATCATTATTTGGGAGGAAATTTCAAAATAGTGTAACTAACTGAATAGGGTGCAAACCATGATTAGATGGCACCACTGATCTTGGTCTGCACTAGTTGCATGGGTAAAATTTGCTTGTTTCCAACAGGCTAAGAGTTAAAAATGAAAGCTTGCATAAATGATGTCTAATTGTTATGAGAATGTGAATCCTGAGATTAAGCATATCAAATGTTGTCTACAAATGAATTTTTTTTTCTCACATATTACTATTATATGCCTATATTATACACAGATGGTACTATGTTATGGTATATTATATATAGAATAATTTTGATGTGGGTGTGAAATTCAATACTAAAACAAAATTAGATCAGTGATTGATTAATATTATGTAATAGGATCTATAAAACATAGTCTGTGTACAATAATTAACCCGTGCCTAGCTGGAAGGGAAAGTGATAGGACTGTCACACCGGTAATGAGCCAGGCGAGTCTGAAAGTCTATGCAGTTTGACCAGGCTCTATATTGTTGGCTCACTCACTTCAAATTTTCATCTTGATATCCGTATATTTTAGAATGGACTGCAGGTGTTAGTTAATATTTTGTCTATATTTCAGAGTTTCTTTCCTAGTCATATACAGGTGGTATTCCTACTACAGCCTCATGGCTTCTTCCAGCGAGCTTTCTCGGACTATAGGTCAAAGTTCAAAGAGGAGTTGGAATATAAGGTACTATAATGTGGTTTTGTATTTTACAAATTTATGTGTTACTTTTGTGTGTGACATACTTTCATATTCCTCATTTAGAATAACATTATTTAGGTTTCACTTCTTAATTTTCCAATGAAGTTACTTTTGCGTTACATAATATATAATCTTTGAACAGTTAACTGTATCGTTTCTGGACAATATGAAATGTCACTTTTAACAAGCAAAGATTATCACAACCATATAGACACACACAAAACTAGATGGAAGCCTGTGTTTTCCATCTAATTCTAGCATTCATACAATTTTTTACTGTTAAAGCTTCACTGTGCATTTTCAGTTAACAAGCACTCATTGTCAATACTTTTACAAAGATTTTACTGTAAATGTTTGTATAATAAATGTTCCTACTTGTAGTAAAGGTTAAAGTTTTTTGCAGTCTGAAGGCAACATGAGGGAGCTTTCATCAATGTCACCCAATTTTCTCGTCCAATTTTGATATTCAGATATGGATCATTTGAAGGAATTCATAGGTTTCATGGCACTTTCAGGATTCCATATGTTTCAAAAGAAGTATCTTGGTGCAATGTAATGCAAGTTTATATATCATGAAGATAAATGCACATTTTCTGCCCAATTACTGGGGAAAATATGCAAGTTTAAGCTTCATTTAAAGGCATCAAATGCTGCAAGTCTCTCAGACCATCCTTTATATTCTGAATTTAAAGAGAAAATAATCCCCATGAAAATTGCTCTAGCAGTATATCAGAATAAGATCTTATGCAAACAAATTGCAGCCAATATCACTGGGAAATTCCCTTATATTGTATGCTGTTTGCTGAATTAAATAAGTTTCTTTCTGATAGATGTATATATATGTCACATGGAGAAATAAATGATTTTAAGTCTGACGGTGAGAAAATGATTATATTCACAGAGGTAAAATGTTTTGCCAAAACGGCAAAGATTGTTTGGTACTCTTATAATAATTCCTTTCTTGGGTATTTTTTTACATGCTTTTATATGCTCTATGAATTTAATTTATAAAACACATTTTGTTTAAATTACATCAGTATTTTGTAATATATGTCGAAATGAAGATTGGAATAAAACAAAATGTAAAGGAATTTCAATCTTTTAACCCCTCTAACTGATTGCTCAAATGGTTAAGGTCCATTGCTGATTTGAGAATTTAATGCATAATATTATTATGTATGTAGCTTTTAAAAAAGTATGCTTATTTTAAATTTAGTGTTCTGTTATAATTTTAGAACAATCATAAAAGTATGCATAAATTGTTCACTTTTGCATTGTAATGTTGTTATCACTTCTTTATCACTAATCACTAATACTTTATGAACTTGCGGAATATTATGAAAGTCTGAATTTTTTTCTGAAATTGGTATTTTCGATCAATTAAAACTGTCAATATTAATACACATATGATAAAAATGTTACCTTATACTCAGTACAAATTTTTAGTAAAAAAAATATATCACATTAAGAAAATTTCTTGTCTTTCTCATACATTTTGACCTTGTATGTTCCAAAGAACTGTTCCGAAGAAAAAGTCGAGCTATTTTGACGGCTGCATTGTTGTTGTCATTGTCATTGTGGTGCAAAAACTTTAATGTCTAAATTAATCAGAATAGAATACTATAATCAAGGCAATTTTTAATTCACACAAATTTCAGATAAATAGCTTTTTTTTCTTTTAAATATGCCTACATTTTATTGGAGGTAACTTTTAAATTTTGAAAAGCTAAATATTTATCCTGTTGCAACAATCTATCTTCATTTCAGGTTGTTTCCCTTGACAGTCCGGAGGCAATGTTTGACTATGTTGCCCCTGAATTTGTAACACCTGATATGGGAGGAAATTTAGAGTTTGATGCCAATGAGTGGACACAAAACAGATGTGTAAGTTTTCTTATTGAAACAGCATTTAAAAGGGCCTTTCTGGCTGAATAGTAATGTTTGCTGACTTGGATTTACAATGTACTTGCCACCTTATGATTGGTTAATTTTGCTGAGTTAGATTTACTTGCCCCCCTTATGATGTGTTGAGATTGACTTACATTTACTTCAAACTCATGAGTCATGTATGATAAAGTTTGTTGACTAAAATTTTCTTGCCCCCTTATAAATGATTAGGTTTACTGACTGCATTTTCTTGCCCTCTCGTGAATGATTGAGTTTAAATGCCCCTTGTTGCTGAGAATTGCCTGGAAGGGTTGAGGCATAAGAATTGCAGCCACTGCTTATCCTTGCTAACATGGATTCCAATAACTGGAGTCTATCCAACTTCTAGCTCCAGCAGGTAAGGTGGTTTTGACCTGAAATTTATAACACTCAAGGTTAGGCAAAATCATGTTTCCCGTTTCGGTGCCATTTGACCTAAACTATGATGGTGTGCCATAAAACCAAACAAACAAACAAACAAAAAAGATTAAGTTTAATAATAGTTATTGTAAAAACTTTGAAAATTATTAAATGAAAATTATTAAAAGAAAACTCCTGTTTAATTATGAGATATGTCTATAGATAAGAATCAGTGTTGAAATGGACTACATAAATTTTTCATTTTATGTTTCAAGGTGTATAAAGTACAGGTATTTACAGCGGAAACTTCTTTTATACCGGAATGACTCTAATAATATGAAATTTCACAGAAACTGGATGGTTTCCCAAGTTCTAGTTTGGCTCTTCACTTTATGTGGGCAATAACTTTCTAATACAGATACTGTTGCTATAATGCAGATGTATATTAAAGTGTCACTATTGTTTTACAGGCTGTCGAGAAATTTAGCAGCAATACTGAAAAGATAGCCTTATCTCTTACTGAACTGATAAAAAAGATGGAGATAGCGTGCACACCAAATGATGTTGCTGGGACGGAAAAACAGATCAGCGAACATTCTGCTCAGAGGAGAGAGCTTCTGGAAGACCTGGAGTCATCAAGCTTCCATGGGCAAACTTTGTTGAGTTGTATAAAGGGAGATAATGAGAGGACTCCGCTTGTACATTTGGCTCATGTTCTGGATGTTGAAAGGTGATAACCTCCCTTGGGCTATTTTTCTGTATCTGATTATATTCACAGCCTGATTCTCAAATTTTATGTTTTTAGGCTTTTTGACCTCATTGGAGTTCCTTTAATGAGTTTAAATTGTACATGTTGAAAAATTTCACTTTTGGAACAATTATTTGAAACAAAATCATTATATCATACATTACAAGTATTTTAAGTCTTTTATCAAATACTTCATCTTATCTTACATAACATTGCCAAAATGTTAGTCCATTTTACATAGTTGTGTTAGTCTGAGCACAAAATTATCACATTTATACTCTTACAAGGGAAAAAAGATAATTTTCTAGTCTAATCCTAGAGTGCATTAAATTTTATGATATATAGTACAGTCATGTTATATCAGACACCATGGTCCATTCCTGAAATATAAAGAGTTTTTTTTGTTTGTAAGATGCAACATATCATGTTCAATGTTTTTAAGTTTGTTTGATTGATTGGTTTTTATACTGATTTTAACACCTATATGGTTATATTTCTTGAGACAGTCAACCTAATAATTACTAACCAGTAGTTACCATTTTCTCTCCAAATGACCAACTTCTAATTCCATGTGAATTCTGATTCATCAGTGAGATACAAAGCACCATTTAAGTCTCAATATTCAAGGTCAATTTTTATATAGAAATTACACCTTGCCCAAGGATTGAACCAGCTAACCTTAGATTACACATCCATTGCTCTCCCTATGCAGCAAAGTGGGTGACATCTGTTTACACAACAGTTAGTTAAATCTCATATTGGCAAGCTCAACTTGTAATCACCTTTGAGTCTACTGGAAACTGACTAGAACTAGTGTTAAATATATGTACGAGGGAACACGATTATGACGCAAGTAGGGCACAAACTCTCACAATGTCTGTTTTAAGGGACAGACACCTTAGCCACTAAACAATCACTCACATGTCATAATGTTTATGTTTCAGATTGATTGTGCAGCTGGAAGAAACAAAGAAGAAATTTGATGAGTATTGGGAGAAACATCACTCCAAACTGCAGCAGTCTTTACAATTGAGGAAATTTGAGGAGAATTTTAAATTGGTACGAATTTTTGCTGTATTTTTTTTCCAAGGGGCAGAACTCTGTATGTCACATCATTTTCTGTTGAAATATTGAGTTGTCTTTTCATAGAATATTCCAATTTCTTACAAAGCAGTAGAGGAAGTCTATGGGTGAGTGGTAAACGTAGCTGGCAATTGTGGGTTCAAGTCTCTCCAGGGATTTTGAATTCTTTAATGTGAAGCTAGCTGAGGGAAGGTTGGTGGTTCTACTCAGGTGCCTGCTCATGCCTTAAGTGATAAAATGATGCTTGGATGGACACCAGGTGTCATTCTTTACCAGTAAATTCTGGCAGTTGCCATTTGATCTTAGTTTGACATGGGCCTCTATGTGACCCCTCCCCATTTTAGGTATGCTATGTTATTCTTAAGTATTTTGTGGCTAGTTTCAATTCCATATAATGTAAAGGTGCTAAGTCATACATTTTGTTTCCTTTTCAATACGTAGAGCTGATGCATTATTTTTTATTCATTTATGTTAGTTCTATCTTTAAAAAGCATGTGCTTGTTTATTTTTTAATTTTAGGTAAAGATTAGCAATTTTAATATTAATCTTCAGATTGGTTATGAATTGTTTATTTCAGCTTTGTTTAGGTATGAAGACACTTAAAACTGCATAGTAAAATACAGTCACATGATTTGGGGATTTGTAAATGGTAGTTTTAAATGTTTGGCACACAACTGGTGTTTGGTTGATATTGTGATTGCCTTTTATCTTGATAATACTGTAAAAATATATTTGGATTGTAGGTTATGCACCCTCGTTCTATTTGAAGTGCCAGTATATTCTAGATTTAAAAATTACCCCTTGAAAATTGTTTTACTGGTCAATTAGCACTGTGCATGGTCTAGTGTTAACTTCATATTACTGAAAATATAATTATAAACTTCCTTTTAATTCATGCTTTCATATGTAAGTCCCTCCCAGCCACTGAACATTTCTCATTGAAACTTCACACATTAACTTAAATAGGTCAGGATTGAAAGTAAATAACTAATGTCCATAACTGAATCATTGGTTTTTACAGAATTATTCCCCTTGTGTGAAATTTTGAAAATTTCTGCATTACTTAAGCTCTCTTTACTAACAAGTGCTATGAATTGCCAAGCAATCCGTCCACCTTGCAAGCTTTTCTGCTTGATAACATCTGGTGAGGTTATTGTCAAATATATATAGGTAGCTTTGTATCTGTAAATGTCTCTATTTTGAATGAAAGGTCCTGAAAAAAAAGAATTGTAGATAATAGACTGATATTTTGTTGTTCATCAATGGACTGGTTATTTTTCTTCCATTGATGGACTGGTTATGTCCAGATTATCAGATTCTGTATAAGGATTGCAGACTGGTTATTTCTGTTTTATTTATAGACCAGTTTTGGTTATTTTTAGTTCCAGATAATCTGTGATAAGAATATAGACATGTTAGAGAAGAAGATGAAGGAGATTGGTGATAGTGTTAAACAAGTGGATGATCTTATACAAGAGTTTGATGAATTTGAAACAAAAGCCAAGGTAAGTAATCTATATTGGGAAAGAAAAATACAAAAACAGCCCCCAAAACAACAGGATAAACTCAATGAGGTGATCATGATGCCAAAAAAATCACTTTTGTTGGTTTTCTTTAGCAGTTGTCATCACTGCAATTTATCACCACCCTACAGTACAGTACTTATAAAATCATGAAATGTTATGTCTATAGAACAAATGAGTTATTTGTAATGTAATTCTACTGAACGCTTTACATGTGTCTTGTCCTCAAAGTCAAAGAAATAGAGAAAAAAGTTGAAGTTATTTTTATGCCACCGCAGCATCTGCGATGCGGTGGCATATAGCGATTCACCTGTGTGTGTGTGTGTTTGTTTGTTTGTTTGTTTGTGTGTGTGTGTGTTATATAGATTATATAGTGAACTTAAAAAATCTTCTTGTGAAAAACCACTAGTCCAATTTCAACCAAACTTGGCAGGATTGATCCTTGGGTGAAGGGCTTCCAAAGTTGTTCAAAGAATTTCATTCCATGCAGAAATCTGGTTGCCATGGCAACCAAAAGGAATTATAAGAATAAATTTAAAAAATCTTCTTGTAAAGACCCAAAAGGCCTAGAGCTTAGATATTTTGCATAAGGCATTGTCTGGTAGACCTCTACCAAGATTGTTCAAATTATAGCCCTGGGGTCAAAATCGGCCCCGCCCCGGGGGTCATTGATTTTCACTATATGTAAATATAGTAAAAACTTAAAATACCTTCTTGTAAAGACCCAAAAGGCCTAGAGCTTAGATATTTTGCATAAGGCATTGTCTGGTAGACCCTTACCAAGATTTACCAAATTATAGCCCTGGGTTCAAAATCGGCCTGCCCCGAGGGTCATTGATTTTCACTAAATGTACATATAGTAAAAACTTAAAATACCTTCTTGTAAAGACCCAAAGGGCCTTGAGCTTAGATATTTTGCATAAGGCATTGTCTGGTAGACCTCTACCCAGATTGTTCAAATTATAGCCCTGGGGTCAAAATCTGCCCCGCCCCGGGGGTCATTGGTTTTCCTTTTATATATATAGTAAAAACTTATAGTAAAACTTATAAAAATTTCTTCTAGTAATTGACAAATGCTAAAGGTTAGATATTTTGAATGAAACATTGAGAAATGAACTTCTAGCAAGATTGTTCAAATTATAGCCCTGTGATCAAAATTGCCCGTGCCCTGGGGGTCATTGATTTTCAATATATACATAATAGTAAAAAAATCAAAAAAATCTTATTATCTGAAGGTACAAGGCTTAGAGCTTTAATATTTGTTAAATGATATCATCTATAGGTACTCTACCAAAGTTGTTCAAATTTTGTCTCTAGTGTCAAAATTAGCCCCGCCCCGGGGGCCATAGGTTTTTCTTATATGTATATAGTAAAAAAACTTAAAAAAATCATCTTCTCTTAATTTACAAATGCTAGAGTTAAAGATATTTAGCAAGAAACATTGTGTAGTGACCTCTAGCAAGATTGTACAAATTATAGCCCTGGGGTCAAAATTGGTCCCATCCCCAGGGGTCATTGATTTTCACTATGTACATATAGTAAAAAATTCTAAAATCTTCTTGTCTGAAGGTACAAGGCTTAGAGCTTTTGATATTTGGTATATAATATCATCTATGGGTCCTCTACAAAAGTTGTTTTAATTATGCCCCTAGTGTTAAAATTGCCCTGCTCCAGAGGCGATTGTTTTCCTTATATGTATAAAGTAAAAACTTGAAAAATTTTCTTCTCTGAATTGAAAAATCTTCTTCTTTGAATTGACATAGGCTAGAGGTTAAATATATGGCATGAGACTTTGCGAAGTGAACCTTTACTAAGATTGTTCAAATTATAGCCCTGGGGTCAAAATTGGTTCCGCCCTTGGGGTCACTGATTTTCATTATTTACATATAGTAAAAAATAAAAAAAAATTTTGTCTGAAGGTACAAGACATAGAGCTTTGATGTTTGCTATATAATATCATCTATAGGTCCTCAACCAAAGGTGTTCAAATTTTTCCCCTGGTGTCAAAATTGGCCATTCCCGGGGGCAGTGATTCTCATTATATACATATAGTAAAAACAGAAAATAAAACAAATATTTTCTGAATGGGAGAAAGCTACAGCTTAGATATTTGACTTGAAATGTTGTTTGGTGGACCTGTATCAAGATTGTTTTGAATTAAACCCTTGGGTCCAAAATTTTGCCTTGACCAAGGGGACAGTGACCTACTTTCTTGTCCTTTGATGTACAGCAATGAAATTTTGACCATGTGCACAGTTTTAGTTGTAAAATTGAACTTTGATATCAGGTGACCTAGATTTTGATGATGTGACCTACTTTCTTGTCCTTTGATGTACAGCTATGAAATTTGAACCATGTGCACAGATTAAGATGTAAAGTGAACTTTGATTTCAGCTGACCTAGATTTTGACAAAGTGTCTTACTGTGTTGTCCTTTGATGTAGTCATGAAATTTAGGCTGTGTGAAATATGACCTTCACCACCAAATCCACTAGACTCTCGTGCATTGATATATTCCTACTCTGATCTTTTATTGAGTTAACCACAGATTTAACCACTAATCTAATAATAACAATTAGATTATTTATAAGGTCAGGGATCTATACATTATGACAATCTTTAAAATTGTATAGAAACAAAAAAAATCTGTTCCTACACTACTATTTAGTATTGTATTAATGCGGTGGCATAGCATTTTTCTCAAATGCAATCTTGTTTTAGAAAGTAATAAAAGGCAAAGTAGTAAGTTTATCATTGTAAGGTTTTATTTCAGAATCAGTTATACTATACCTAACAAATTTCATAATTGTAATCTTTAAACAGATATGTATACTCAAAGCTTTGATGACATTGTGGTTTTTCTAAATTATAGCATGATTGGTTTTGAGCATTATTTATTTATTTAACTTACGTTATAAAGAAAGCATGTAAACTTATTTATAACCAGTAATTGTCAAGTCATAACCAAGGTTCAATGGTTCATATCCAAGTGAATTATATCATGATGATTAATGGAGTATTTTTTTTTTGTGTAACCTCGGTTATGAAGTAAGCATGTATTCTCAAGTCACACTAGAAGTATGGCTCATAACCTGAGAGGTAGACACCTGTACCACTGACCCAAGCAACTGCTACTCCCTACAACTGACAAGACTAGTGCAACTATATAGATTTTTTTGTTGACAAGAATTTAAATGATTATAGTTATCAATCATTTGTCAACTGCGGCAATTGAAAAATTTAAACTAAATTGTCAGATTCATGACAGGACTACAATTTTATTTAATTACCACTGTCACCCCATAAATAATTTATTGATTGTTGTTTTAAAAAAATAAACATTTATTTTCTGCAAAAAATTCAGTTAAAACTTGTTAAATGAACAATGATGTCCTTTTTATCCTTTCTTTACTATTTACATGATATCTAAGAATGTAAAAATCTAATTTGGATGTTTCTTTCTTTTGTCAAATGAAAAAGTTTGAAGAGTAAAAAAACAACAACACATATTTACACAACATCTGTTCATTCATTGCCTTGATTGCACAGTCTTGTTATTTTATAATTGATGAATTACCTTCAGGGCAGTGTGTAGCTCAATTACTTCCCTTTAATTAAATTAATGCTCGTACAGTTGATGTGAAAATAAGGTCAGTGGAGAAGAAAGACCCTTGACATCGTTAAATTATGATAATAAACTTCAAGGTGAAAGCCTGTGGCTTATGAGAATATAATCATATACAATGTCTTAGCAAATAATTGTGAAAAAGTGAAAAAACTTTTTGCTGCTTAAGTCTTAACTAATGATTTTTTACATGTGCTCAAAAACTTGCCTGACTCATTGAACAATGAAACAAACATGTCTGAGTTGTAACTTTTGATGTGAGCTACTTAGCCCGATAGGGAGGGCATCTGATTAGTTATCGCTGATTCGATCCTCTTGCAAGGTGAAATTACTCCGCCATAATTGATTAAAGACATTGAGTCTAATGTTCATGTGTCTCTCAGAAATTATGTGGGAGTAGTTGTCTCTTACTTGTGGAGAAATTGGTAATTGCTGGTTAGGTATCCAGGGAAGCCAGTTAGGTGGCTGAACTGCCAAGATATTACAAATAATGTGTTGAAATCAGGGTAAAAAAAAAAACAGAAAAAAACAAACAAGCAAATTATTGATACATAGATGGAAGTTTAGAGTGAACTGTCAAGCACTAAGTTTAGAGTGAACAGTCAGATAGTAAGTTTCTGGTCATATTGCACTGGTCAGATTGCATGAGTGTTAATTTAGGTCTGATAATGTAAGGCAAAATGTGTATATTAAGTTAGTGTTCATTAGTATACATTTTCAAAATTCAATTGTGCAAAAATGGTTTGCCTGTTTGGTCAACTTGTTTTTCATAGATGGTCACTAATTAAATTTAGCCTATTTAGTGTTTGAAATTATTTCCTTTTATTACATGCTTTTCAGTGGTTTATAGAAACATATCTGTGAAATTATCAATTTGATATTTTTCACTGTTTTGAATTAAAGCCTGTTGCATAGTATTGAAAATTAACTTAATAACGTGACAACGTAAATGACATTGTATTATTATTTGGCACGATTTTCATTTACTGTTAGGTTAAAATGTTTTTTTAAACGTTTCTTTGCATATAATAAAAAGAAAAATTGTTTAGTTTAGTGTAAGATCGAAATATATTTCACCTTGTGAACACCAAAAGTTTATATTTCCAATTAACCAGAATAAATGTGTTCCAGTTCAATACTGCAGTGTTGGAAAAAGAAATAATATCAAACACTAATATTTCTTGAACATTTTAGCCCCCAAAAAGTGAAGGTTTTCTACTATATATTTTACTGTGAGTGTATTTCTATTGAAAAAACATGATGTTATGTACTGTGCAGTTCAATTTATATTGTGACTATTGTAAAATAGAAGTTAATATAGGACATAAAATGTTATTTATGTAATGTAAAGTGAACAG